CAAAGGTGACATACGGAAAATACGCCACTCGGGTCCCGGATGAAGTGGCGTATGGAATCTACGAGTGGTTTAGTTCCCAGTAAAACACTCTTCTCCAGATAATAAATATATCTTATTAGATGTTTTTGTGTGTAGTATCGTCTCGGATATTCCCCAGTTTTAGCTGGGGAATAGTCGGTCATGTGGCGTGTTTAGACCAATCGTGCGCAAGCGAAAATATTTGTTGGATTATAATCGATGGTGTTACATTCAACCTTCCCATCATGCGCCGCGCGCATGTCGCATTAGACTTTCTAAGCCCTTTCCAATAATTCTTCCCTGTTGGTTTCGCCGACCTCTCGCGACTTACGTCGCTCGCGCTCGCCCTCGTGACTTGGTCGCTCGAAGATTACTCTCTCGCTTCGCTCGAGAGAGATAAAATAAGTCAAGGATTAAGAAAAGGTTGACTTGTGGCAAGTCTAATGTCGCATTGATTTGTTGGCCACTGTATTTTCTATGACATAGTATAAAATAGTTATCCCGCTTTCTTGTGGTATACTCGCCTAAAGGTTCGCGTGTATACCGAGAAAATGCAAGTGGCTCGTGGGATATTCCATGGTATACCACTCGAAAGCGTTGCATTATTCGCATGTATAGTATATGCGGCTGAAAAACATACGTTTGTGGAGGAATGTAGGGCTGCTTATTGAAAAGTGGTGAAATTAATAGCGGCCAACGTTTCGCTGTCCTCGTCACGGAATGTTTCAGTGTTTCTCCAAAACTTCTTTAATTGGAATATTGAAAAGTGGGACGCATTTAATTTTTTTTTGATTCTCGGCTGAATTCATAAAGATTGGCTTTTAACCTCCCTTCGTAATAGTAACTGTACAGCAATGAAAAACATGACATACAGATGATCATAATACAACAACTGATCACCAAGCCGCTCACTCATAGAATGACGTATTGATAGTTTGCACGTATATTCAGGAATAAAACGTGCACCTCAGAGGACATTGGGTCAAAAGATCATCAAAAATGTGTTTGAAAGTTACGTTTCTTATGTTTTCACTCCCTGAAAGTTTTGCTGCAGGTACTATACAAGATAAGATAGGGTTTAGTTCCTGAAACTATTGAATGTAGATGAAGATGAATTGCCATTGGCTGAAGGGTTCTTTTCTTTTTCACAGGTCGTATTTTAAACAGATTTTCCAAAGATATGGGATTTGTTGACGACATGATGCCGTTCACATACTGTGATTTTTTGCAGGTAATAAAAGTCTCCCCACATAGAACAGAAGTACGCCAAGTCGCTTGTAGTTTGTTCTAGTTCGATTTAAATCGTGATTTGGTTGCCTGGTGATAGATGCAACACTGTTTGGCTATCTTTTTTAACCAAGAGTTCAAAGTTAATGCTTGTGACAGCGTCTCGTAATAATTCTCTCTGTTCTTTTCTTTTCTGCACGTCAATTTTATGAAATGGTATTCGTAATAATGCATTTGTAACAAGGATGTCAGTGGAGTTCTCTTTTCGTTTCTTCCTAGACCTTGTTTGTTGTTGTTGGCATTTTGGCGTTAGTGGCCGGTAACAATCCTATCACATTTGTTGTTGTTGTTCCTGTTGTCATCATCTTCTGGATTTTGAGAACTTACTACATGAAAACATCTCGAGAAGTAAAAAGAATCGAAGGAATAAGTAAGTATGTTTAAGTATATGTTCTTAGTTTTCAAGTGATGTAATCACCGCTTTGTTGGTAATTTTTCTAATCACCAGCATGGTACCACCAACATGGCCCTTCAGTCTCGCACGGCTGGTTACAAAGCACCTATAATGAAATCTTTTCGGACTTAAAGGGACGCTGTCACGATATATTTGCTTAAAACTGTTATAAATTCACGAAATAGTCCCTAAACGTTTATTTAATAAGAACTTAATTAGCTCTAATTAAATGATTTAAAGCAATTTCTTCAAGAAAGTCCACACTGCAGCAACATTTGTGCAAAATTTCAACGATTTTCGAGCCAAACGTAAACTTTGAAAAACTGACATCCTGGCGCTTTTTCAAAAATCCATATCACAATCCGTTTCAATCCTCGCCATCGTTGGCCATCCTCACGTCCTAATGGGTTCTAATTATTTGTCGAGTACTGCTCTGCAAAATAAAACCATTATTGTTCAGTTTCCAAAGATCGATATAGGTTTTTGAGATTCCAAAATCATGCTAAAAATGGTGACAGTCTCCCTTTAAGTGAATGAAGATGCCGGCTTTTTAAATCCTGAAAATGCACGTGATACGGCAAGCGTTGGATATCACCTCAAAAATTACAAGAAGCTGTTGTCATTAAACAATGGTAAAGCGCCAACTACGGAGTAAAATTTAAACAGCAAGGAACCTCTTGTTAGGAACATGGTCAAATTCAATGATTCGGATTTCGGCTGCAAGCAAAATTTCGATAGTTATATCTGGCTTTGCCTTACGTTACATCCAGTCTTGTCATCGCTCTTGTTCGCCAGCAAAACATGCAGCAATGAAGCACCGAACATTACTCACTTTCCTGTTGGTTTTCCTTCTTTTACAGGCCGTAGCCCATTATTTGGTCATTTTTCTACCACTCTGCTTGGCCTGGACACTATTCGTGCATTCGGTGTGGAGGAGGTGTTCACGGATCAAATGAACTCTTACCAAGACGCACACACCAGAGCCTGGTTCACGTTTATCTCTACTTCAGCCTGGCTCTCCTACAGGCTTGATATACTCTGTGTCATCTTCATTTCCTTTGTGGCATTAGTTTCTCCTGCTTTGAAATCATGTAAGTTATAATTTGTTTGCTATAGAGGATGAGCAATGTTTGTGCTGTTTATTTTACATGTATATCAATCGAGTAGGTAAAAAACACTATGTAGCAGCAAGAGAACCATGAAAGTAAAACTCTTTTTTTCTGTGGAGTGGAGAGCTTGCACAAATAATGATTTCTTCTGAGTACTGATTCTAATGATATTGCTATGAAGGTTGATGATGATGTGAAAAGTCAATCCTCATTCCTGTGTCATTTCAAGTTGTAAAAGACGATTTGTCTCATGCACTTGAAGGCATTAAGTACACTTAGTGGATGTTAACAAAACTTGTCTTCGTTTGTATTTTTCAGCCTTGAGTGCTGGTGTGGTTGGTCTTACGCTGAGCTATGCCATCAAGATATCAGGAGTGTTTCAGCAGTGCGTCAAACAAAGTGCAGAAGTCGAAAATTTGGTCAGTTGAAAATCATGCGTGTCTTCGTTTTTTGTTTTATCTCACGTGGTAGTAGTTTTTAGAATAGGTGTTGTAGCTACGTTTTTTGCCCTAAGCAAAAATTAAAGCTGTAATAATTTGGCTTAAGTACATTTTAGTAAAATTGAAATGAATCGCTGATTAGTTTGCCAGAACTTGCGGCTGCTATAGTAACAGGTAACTAATTGGTTTCCGTAGTTGACAAACTAAGGGAAGGTGGGATATAACGCCCTCTGAGTGAAGCAAAATCTTCTATTATGGAGAATGTTGTGGTAATAATGTGTGTTTGGTAACTTTTCTGTTGTTATTGCTTTTTTGTCAGATGACATCTGTCGAGCGCATTTTGGAATACTGCAGCCTTGAACCAGAAGCGCCAAGAGAGACTGATACTAAACCTCCTGCCGACTGGCCTTCCAAAGGCGAAATAGAGTTTGATAATATGAGCTTTAAATATCACAAATCTTTACCCCGGGTGCTGCACAGCATCTCGTGCTGCATCAAACCACATGAGAAGGTAACTCCTTTGTCTGAGCATTCTGTATCCAGTCGGCGTTTCCTTTATCGGACCGCTTGTTTAGACCTGAGAGGTAGAGTGCTTTTCTCTGTGCTTCATTTTGCAAGATGCACTTTATTATTGCTTGCTCTGAAAATAAAGCGGAAATAGCTCGCATATAGCTTTACTTTTTGGTTGCATATAGCTTCTGCTTTTGGTTACTGAGAAAAAAATAGCCAAACGTTACAGTAAATATTTGCTTGTTGGGAAACGGGTTTAAATACACGGCTGTTTGCCGGTACAAGGTTTAATTCTTAAGTATTAGCATAGAATGAAAACAGTTTTACGTTCTTCCTGATTTCAGATCGGTGTGGTGGGCCGCACAGGGGCCGGGAAGTCTTCATTACTATCAACTTTGTTCCGCTTGGCAGAACCAACCGGAGCTATAAATATCGATGGTGTCAACATACAGCAAATAGGGTTGAAAGACCTGAGGAGTAAACTGTCTATCATCCCACAGGTCAGCTTCGCAGCGCACGGCTGCCACCTTAAAAACTTGTCATCGCTTTTTCTTCAACCTAAAGGATAAGTGTGTTTCTGAAATATTGCTTATCTCCAGCAAGGCCATCCACTGAAGAAGGGTGTGAATATCGTAACAACTGTGTCTTAGAGCGTTTCAGTTTTACCTTTTGATGGCCATTGCTTGTTAGAAGCCAGAGAAAACATGGTACCTTTTAGTTTACAATACATAAGAATGTCTTCCTTAAATTGCAAATATCTTATCGTACCGTATTGTTTTCTTTTTTCTTCTCATTTCACCTATTTGAACGTGTCGTTTCCTTTGTAGGAGCCTGTACTTTTCAGTGGCACCATGAGAAGAAACATTGATCCCTTCAGTGAGCACAGTGATTTAGAATTGTGGAGAGTTTTAGAACAGGTACGTCGCAGTGAAGCCATATTAAGAGGGGAACTAGAGTTACACGAGTGGATACGTGTGTTCTTATCTAAACTGGAATCTTGCAACTAATCCTGGCCGTACAGCTGTTCGAAAGTTATTTTTACTGATAATTTTGATTGATAATTCACCCGTTTGTACTGTAAGTCAGCTGCTAACTGTAATGTTCTGAGTTATAATCAACCATTACATATATTTATGACAGGTCTTTTCATGAGGCCCTTTGCTAAAGATTACCTGCCGTACTTCAAGATTTGATAAGTCACCTGAGATTTTGTGGAGATCTTAAATTGCAGCCTGTGAAAGCAGACTAGTCATTTTGGATTTCCTAGGTTTCATCATTGGTTATTGTGTATCGAATAATAACAGGCGTTTAAGTCAAGACTGTAAGATTGGCCTTTTCTAAAACCGTTGCGCAACAGTTGATTTCATCTTGAAGTTCTTTACCTCTTCACGTATGTGTTGGGCACTGTACCACACACAGTGGCTCTCACCACCCTGGGGAAACAAATGGATATCAGCGAACTGTTAGACAGTCTCGATTACCAGCCGCTGTTCGGGAAGGGAGTCCGCGCTCCTGCCGCAAAGGAATGGGCAAGAACGTAGATCGGTCTCGAGAGATCAGCGGAAATGGAGATTAACTGTTAGAGCAATGCGACAAAACTGTGAGGCATAATCGGCGATGGACTGGCGTCTCACCCATGGAGGGTAGAAACAAATCATGATACGGAGACCGGAATAATCTGAGCCAGTTTAGCCCGACTGCGACTACCTTAATCACGACCTACTTCTTAACTGGACGTCATTGAAGGAATATAAAAGTTAATATTATTTTTCTTATCAGGTGCAGTTGAAATCTGCCGTCGAAAGCATGAAGGGCATGGACACTGAGTTTGCCGAGGCTGGTTCAAACTTCAGCGTGGGACAGCGGCAACTGGTTTGTTTAGCACGCGCCATTTTGAAGCACAATAAAATCCTGGTGATTGATGAAGCCACAGCAAACGTAGACCCGAGGTTGGCCTTATTACTGTATTTAAACTGAAAACTAGGCGATAGCTAGAAAGATGTATTCTTTCTCTTGGATGGGTAGCGGTACTGACCAAGCCTTCTTGCTTCTAGGACAGATACTTTAATCCAGGCCACCATCCGTGAAAAGTTCAAGAAGTGCACTGTACTAACGATAGCTCACCGTCTTCACACCATTATGGATTCAGACAGAGTTATGGTAAGCTTAATTCATTTTAGAATGATGCGAATTGCCAGGCAAATCGTTTTTTGACACACTACAAAAAATGCGGTGAGGAGTGAAGGTGTCTCTACTTTGATTTGTTTCAGGTTTTAGACGCAGGAAGGTTAAAAGAATTCGACGCTCCCTATACACTCCTGAAAAACCCTCGATCAACGTTTGCGCAATTAGTAGCTCAGACAGGACCGCTGGAATCCAAAAGGCTCTTTGAAATAGCTCGCCAAAAATATTATTCAAAGAAGGCCATACCGGAAACACAGGAGGAGGAGTTTGTGGATGGGTTCCAGTCTCCCACTGCAGTAAGCCTGATTGTCCCTAATGGGACTGTTAACGAACGCCAACCTGAACTTCAGTTCGAGTCAACTGTTTGATTTAAATATTAAACGCCTACTTTATCGTACATATACAGTAACACAGAACATGAATATACTATTCTCTGAACTCTGTCGACTATAAATTACACCATTTCATTTTTTTAATCATCACGTTTAAGATTTAACACATTTAATCTATAAGTAATATATAAGCCAACCAGTTATAAATAGATTAATAGTGATTAATCAGATATTGTTGATTGGATATCAGTTCAGTTCCTAACAAACCCATTTACTTGAAAAACCAGAAAGAAACGCTCCTCCTACTCCCCCAAAGTGTAAAGATGTGGAATGTTTTCGGATTCTTTTTGTAGTATTCTCTCTCTGTCTCCAAATCAGCTCATAGGTATTTGTAAGCAGTTGAAGCAGTTTTCAATTGAGCGTCGTAAAACCAAGACCAAAGTTATCACTTTAGCCAATCGCAGAGGACACGGAAAATCCAGTGAACCAATCAAAGTTCGAAGTAATTACGTGTAGCTGACGCAAAGCGCGGGAAAACGCGTGCGATTGAGTAACTATTGGATTTGGCTTTACTTCTGATTGGATGAAAAAGTGGCGCGAGTTTTTAAGCCAATCATATAGTTAGGCAAAACCAATTACTTTTCGACACTCAAATGAAAAACGCTCTGTTGTAGATCGAATATTTTGCCTCAATTGAAAATCAGAAGAAAACTGTAAGAAATGTTAGTTTGTTTTGTTCGTTAGTAAATCTGGAAAATCCTATTCATAGACCATGCAAACCTTCATCCCGTGTTATTTATAAATGCAAGTGTTGGAGAGGCAACACACTTGAGCACACGCGGGCTGCAACATGAAAATTCGAAACTCACTAGTCATCCTTAACCAACAAGACAGAAGAACAAAACAACAACAAAGCAACAATTTCTTGAGGGCAAAAGATCCTCCTCTGAACCTTGAAGTTTGTTTTTAATCTAGTCACACTCGGAACAGCTCATCTTGCATTCAGTATGAATAAGCAACGTGGGTTTTCTCTCCCAACATTCAATTTTAGATGACTAAATGTTTTATCGTGTTTAGCCTTTCATATTTCATATTTTTCCTATCCGTAGCGAACATCCCATTCTACAGAGATCTCTATCCTAAATACTGTACCTGAAATTGGATTAGTATTTTAATTTATTTTTAAATATGTTTTTTAAAAAAATATGCGAGAGTTCTAGACTTATACGAACCTATAGAAATGAGTAGATCATTGACTGATATGATTATTTCTCACATTGAAGAGTTGTGTGTTATGTATAATAACTATATATTCAACTTAGCACGGCTCCCATCATTGAGGGTCGTGCATGGGGGGAGGGGAGGGGGGGGTCCTCTGGCACGGTTTACGAGCGGAAAATATAGCGAATCACGGATATCAAAATTTCATTTTCCCGAATCACGAAAATAAGCAAGTAAGGTACTTTTTTTTAATAACCTGCTCTTACGTTGGAAAGTGTTTGAAGAAAGCAAACTCGTGAAAGGTTAAGTAAAGGCTCCTTGCGAATTGCATACCTAAATTGCTTTCGATAGACGACTCTAACCGTTCGGAGGACTCAAGAAGAAATATAGAGCGGTGAAATCACGAATATCGGTTAGTACAGTGGAATCCCGATTTCTCGAACCCCCATTTTCTCAAACCTCCCGATAACTCGAACCAAAAATCGTTTCCCTCTCCTCAGTCGAACACTGTAATTTTACCGCGATTTCTCGAACTCTCCGATTTTTCAAACCAATTTTCGTTCCCCTTGGAGGTTCGAAAAATCGGGATTCCTCTGTAATTCATGTCCTTCACGGGTCACGCAAAATCTTCGGGTAACGGATCACGAAGAATAATTTCTTAATAATTATATTCGCATTTCATGGAGAATAAAATCAGCTAATCACACATCACGAAAATACCCGTGTACGACCCTCATCTTTGGTAAATGAGATCTGATTAAAAAGAAATAAATTTACGAATTTTTGTCGAAACAGTTGCTGAGATGCTTGATTAGTGAAGAGCTTTTCCGTCGGTAGTTAGACGAGAATCAAACTTCAGAGAAAACATTGGTGCATCGTGAAACCACTTATATTGTTGCCGTTTATTGCTGTGAGCAATTTATTTCTGTATTTTTTTCTGCATGTCTGCTAACTACAAGCTAGTTTATTGGTGACAGTTCAAATGAGCATTCAACTCTTGATGTATTTAAAGCACATTTCAAAGAAATGGATTACTAAAACTTCGTATGAGACTCTGAAACATAGTATATTGAGGATATAACACGGTGGCGAGAACATAATATTAATATCTTTGAGTCAACGTGTAATGTTCTTTTTGTTATATAGACAAAAAGGAAGCCAATCGAAAGTAGAAGCCGTAAATGAACCGCAGCTCGGTGGCTGAAATATCCAACCTCGTTCCCAGGGTCTCTCATCTTCCCACCTCCCCGGAGAGAGAAAGAGAGAGAGGAGAGGGCCCTCTCCTCTCTCGAACACACAGGCACTATGTGTCCGTACTGACGGCCAGAAATATCACTTAACCAAAAATACATCTCAACTAGAGTTAGATGCCATCGCGACTCTGCTCGTTTTAAGAGGTTTTTTCAAAATCAATCAAAAACGATACTCGGAAAAGGATTTTTTTACGAAGCTAAAGAATCCGTTGATATCGCGTGTTTTCTCTCTCACCGCTTTCACCTAGCTCACGAGCAATCGGAATCCGCAACAGCCGGAATCCGCAGGCGGAACAAACAACAACAACAACAACAACAACAACAGCTAGCTTTATTTGCACTGACAACACTAAAACAGTAGTGATTATCATGAACACATAACAAGGTTATGAGATAGCAACCAAGTTACATCGGTTTGATTTGAAAGGAGAATATTGCGTAGATCAAAGTAGGATGAGTATTAACATAATGATTTACAGAGGTCGTAAGTTCACCGTTGGCTTGTAATGGAGATAATTGCTTAAAATACGGACTGATATTTTGTATTTTTCTATAAAATTCATCTCTTAGAATAAAGTAATTAATGCAATTAATAAAAAAAAAAGTGGGATTCTGTCATCTTCAATTTGATTAGATTTACAAATAGGGCAGAGTCTGTTAACCGTTGGAATTTGGTCATATCTACCCTAACTCTAACCTTAACGTTTACCAGGTTCAATCTTTAGTTTGCGACTGCCTATCCTAAATTTCACCAGCTCTTTTCTTTCGGTTAGCTTGCTTGGTAGGCTCAAGTAAGAGAGGGGTGTATAGTCGTTCTTAAAAGTGCTGAAAAATTCTAGTTTAGTGGAGTTTTGCATAGTATGTTGCCAGTATAAAACATACTTTTGTTGCATTCGGCTAACATAGGGTTTGATTTTAACGTAAGATCAAAAAAGGCAAATTTTATAATTCAGACATACTTATTCTATTAGAATGAAAACTATTTTTACTATCGCGATGAAGATCTTCCGACATGAGAAAGATTTGTTTAACAATAGAGCAATTATCCTTACTTAGAAGATACGAGGAGTAATTCATGATTTTCTGATTGATAGCTATAATGAGAGGAAACCTACAAAGTTCAGCTATACATGCTACATTGGATGCCTTTTTCCTTACTTCTAAATAACGTTTACAGAATTGGAGATGTGTTTTTTCGATCTGGGAACTGGCCCAAGACTTTGCATATTCACCACAGATTTCACTGTTGTTTGTCAAAATTGGGGAGATAACAGAGGCGTCGAAAATTTACCTCCCTGATTACCTACAGACCGATCTCTCTCCACCTCTCGCTCTTCCAACTTGTAAGTGTCGAGACAACTTCGGCTTTCTCAGCTCGACTTGTGGACAAGTCTACATCCCGTGAAGAGAGGAGTAGAAATACCCCAGAAATACAGGATATTAGCACCGGCGTTACACCTACAGAAATGCATGGTTCATAGAGCCATCAGACCTCAATTCCGAATAGAAACCTAATAGTAAATTGTGAAACCGTTATCGTCTAGTGTGAAATTGATTCGAGAGCGCTATATTTTAGTGAAATGTATTACTAAGATTCGGAACAGTCACGGAACCAATCATAATGCTTTTCTCATCACGGATCAGTTTATCATATGATAAATGAGATATTGATTCAATGATTAAATGAAACATACAAAACAAAACCATGGCGGGTTGTGTCAGTTTACGTCATTGCAGCCCCTTATGTTTCTCAGGGGTTAGTGCAGAAAAAAATCTACTCTCGACCTCCCCAAGGTGCCTTGTTCTATAATTGCTGTTGTGTGGAGGTACTGAATACTGAAATGTTTACTCAGAAGTCTCAGAAGCATCCTATCTCTCGTAGTATAACCTGCTGCACAAGGTTGGTTGGGCTCAATTAGGCGATGAATCAGCAGATCTTCACTACCATCCATTGCGACGGTCAACGCGCACTCAATGAGTCGATAATCACTTGCTTGTGATTGAACACGACCATCCTTTGCTGTCTCTGTACTCGTCCATAAAATAGGGGAACGGAAGGGGAGGGGAGGGGACGGGACGGGGGTGCTTATTCGAGGAAAGGCGCTTATTTTAAATTTTGGCCGATAGTAGGGACGTTTATTCGAAGAGAGCGCTTATTTGAGGGGACGTGCTAATTCGATGATTTACGGTAGACAAAGAAGAGGCCTTACTCATTTTAAGAACCACGCTCGCCTTACTGTTATGCCGGGCGGATGATAAATCACACGGGGTAACCACCCTACTGCGGTCGCCTGTGCAACTTTCATCTCAGCCCTAGAAAAATAAGTCTCAATTTAAATCGCTGCTAGTTATAACTTTATTTATGTACGTTATATCGATTTTACAACCTTTTTCCGTATTGCATGGTTACGTAATACAGTGCTACTACTCGATCCGGGCCACCAAGAAGAAAACTAACCAATCAAAACGTAAACTGAGCACAATGGACTGGTAGCTTCTCGTGACGGCAAGTAATGGTCTGCGTAATATACACTCAGAGATTCAGTTCTTGACGGCAAATTATCATAATTATAAATCTCGCTCGAAAAATTTGGCTTGAAAACTCATTTTGCGACAACTAAACTGAAACCGTTGCAAAGCGCACAAAATTAAGGGTCGAAACAAACCAATAAACAAATAGCAGGGTCTCCTGAGAGGTTCACGACACTTCACACTTTCTTGAGTTTTCAATTTTTTTAAGATCTATTGTTCGTATTCTTCAATGTTATTGGTTTATTCGAGAAAAAAAAATCCTTTGTTCTCAAGAAACGTTCTGATTGGTTAATCTTTTCCAAGCGGCCCGGTTCGAGTAGTCGCACTGTAAGTGTAAATCTACCTACTATGCATATCACGGGATATATATATTTTTTAGTCGCAACCTTATGTTATTAACTATTTGATAAATTACGGAGAATGAAAAAGGCGAGCCGAAAGGAGTACATGACGACGCAGGTCAGCCGAGAAAACCCTGGGGCGAGTTTGTTACTGAATGTGTCCCATCGCGGGGTTAAGTTCCTAAACCTATTAAAATACTTAAAACATATTGCAGCTTGGCTACGGATTTTTACTAATACTAACACGCATTGTGTGGTAGTGTCGTTTTTATACTTCATTTTAATAAATGTGCAAGGCGTATTTTAAAACTATGTATGTGTATAGAGTTAAACGCGACCCTCTGACGCACTAAGGAGAGAACAGCACGCATTACGTTACATTGTACTGGACATTTGTGAAGAAACCTCTGAGAGGCACAACTGAACCCCAACAGAATACAATTCCGTCTCAAGCGGAAGTACCTTCCTTGTCTGAAGTAGTGGAATCATTCTGTTTGTCTGGTTTGATTTCAACATCTATTTGTTGTTGTAGCAGAGGTGCAGAGTCCCCATTATCCTCTGTTTCCGGTTGTTGTCGGGAGGGAGAGTCTTTCTCGAGGTTTTCCGGTTTTTGTTCAGGGGGAGAGTGGCAATTATCTTCTTTTTCTGGTATTTTAGGTTTTTGCGAAGAGGGAGAGTGATTATCAACCTGTTTTGCCGGTGTTTTCGGTTGTAGCAGAGGCGCAGAGTCGTTATCATCAGCTTCCGTTTCCGGTTTGACTGATATTTCTGGTACTTGTTGCGGTGCAGTGTTGTTGTCTTCAGCCATAGTTTCCGGTATAGCTGCTCGTTGCTCATGGTATTTGTCCCTTGCGATCTCGTACAATCTCCTTGCCTCCGCAGGCCCTGTTTGTTCCACCAGCAGGGCAAACAGACTGCGGGGATTCTTAAGTAGAACATAAGGTGCATCGAACTCTTTGAGGCGGCCAGCATCTAACACCTGATGACAGAAAGAGAGTCTATGAAGACAGCCAGGGAGATAATAACGAATAAACAAGTGAAGCAAGTAAATCTAACGGGAAAAGAGCCCTCCGCATTCAAATGAAATTGATTCGTTCATGGATTTCTGAGACAATTGTTAACTTTACAAGAGAGACCTCTCCGTAATTCAAAACTGATCAACAAGATGATTACAACTGATCTCGCGCGAGAAACCATCGTACCCACTATGTTGCAGGGTTGAAGAGCTACTTGTTACTGGTTAAGGAAGGATTTTTCTTTAGCTAAGCGATCATATGGTGTTTAAACAGAAAAAAAAAAGCTCGTACCATAACTCTGTCTGAATCCATAATGGTGTGAAGACGGTGAGCTATCGTCAGTACAGTGCATTTCTTGAACTTTTCACGGATGGTGGCCTGGATCAGAGAGTCCGTCCTGTTAAAAGCAACAGAACATTTTATACAAGGATCAATTACTAACCTAATTATATTCACTATTGCAAGGTTTTTCAAGTCCACACCTCTTGCCCTCGTAAGCAGTTACTACAGAAACGTACTAAGTAGAAAGACTAAAATCATTAAAAAAAAGCTAAAAGCACGCAAAACCATACTAAGTAATCCTCAGTTTTATTTTGAAGGCAATGTAGTTATATTACTCTTCTGCTACGGACCATCGTTTTTAACGCCTCGTGGCTCACATTTGATTGAGGAATAAAAAAACTTCCGGAACCAGGGTATCTGTATTAATGAAGAATAACTTTAAAACGCTTTGCCCAAAGATGTTCAAGAGTTTACGACTGGTAACCTAAACGATTATTACACTGATGACATGTGGTTTACTCTTGAAGTTTCCTGTCATATTTGATTTGCAGCATTACAAAGATTTCTAGTATATTAACGGGATCTTATGTAAAAACACTGACTTCCGTGACTTTAGAGCGTTACTGGACACTAACTAACCTTTGATCAACATTCGCAGTAGCTTCATCAATCACCAAGATACGGCTGTGCCTTAGAATTGCGCGTGCCAGGCATACAAGCTGCCGCTGACCAACACTAAAATTTGAGCCTGACTCCGCAAGCTCTTGATCTAGTTTGTTTGGCAACTCCTCCACAGCTTGTTTTAGTTGGACCTGCAAAAAACAGACATCATTTTACGCCAACATTTGCGCTAATTGTCCTGTCAGGTAAAACATTTCTGTTACCTCCTCCAGCACATTCCACAGTTCAGCGTCCTCACGCTCTCCAAGTGGATCCAAATTTCTCCTCATGGGACCACTAAACAACACGGGTTCCTACAAAAATTAACAAAATTAAAATTAAGTATATTTTGAGAGAATTTTCAAATATCACTCAAACTGTAAGTCCTCAGTTGCACTCCCCTTCATACCCATGCTTAATGACTGATGACAACACATCAAAATAAAATATCACATATTTATTCATCAGCAACAAAGCCCACTGTCAAATTTAATATCATCGGCCCAATAAATGCGAGAACATTATTGAAGTTAAGCTCAGTACAGATTACTTCTATCGATCCGTGTTATATGAACATTGTGAATTCTAATTGTATCATTTTCCTAAAACTGTTTCACTTTCGCAAGACTTCTGAACGAATTACTTTACCACGAAGAAACAAATGTCACCAATAAGTAACTGGAGAAAATACAGCAAAATAAGTACGATATGAAGCTGCACATTCTTTGATGTTCTCCGTTTCACACGGTATCATAATTTACAAAGCGACATATCGTGTTATTTGTCCTCCTGTTATGATTGCTCACCTGTGGAATGATGGACAATTTGCATCTCAAATCTCTAAGTCCAAGTTCTCGGATATTAATGCCGTCGATTTCAATTCTACCCCTTGGCTCTGCTAATCTAAACAATGTTGAAAGAAGAGAAGACTTGCCAGCTCCAGTGCGACCCACCACTCCAATCTGAAGAGAAGTAAAAGCACATCTTAAAAATCGTCATCTTAAATCAGCACTGCTTTTTACCCTCATTTGTTACAATGTACTTATTCCTTTAGGCCTATATCATCCATAATTTTAAAACCCTCTTCATTTTAAGCCATTTCCTTTCTCTTTATGAGGCCTTTTTTAATTATAAACAATAATAACTGTGATACATACATACATACATACATACATACATACATACATACATACATACATACATACATACATACATACATACATACATACATACATACATACATACA